GGTGACAACAGTGACAACAGTGACAACAGTGACAACAGTGACAACGGTGACAACAGTGACAACAGTGACAATGGTGACCACAGTGACAACAGTAACAACAGTGACAAGACTGACAACGGTGACAAGGGTGACAATGGTGACAACGGTGACAACAGTGACAACGGTCACAATGATGACAATGGTGACAACAGTGAGAATAGTGACAACGGTGACAACAGTGACAACAGTGACAACAGTGACAACGGTGACAACAGTGACAAAAGTGACAACAGTGACAACAGTGACAACAGTGACAATGGTGACAACAGTGACAACGGTGACCACAGTCACATCAGTGACAACAATGACAACACTGACAACGGTGGAACAATGACAACAGTAAGAACAGTGACAATGGTGACAACACCGTCAACACTGAAAATGGTGACAACGGTGCCAATGGTGACAACAGTGACAACAGTGACAACAGTGACAAGAGTGACAACGGTGACAACAGTGACAACAGTGACAACAGTGACCACGGTGACAACAGTGAAAACAGTAACAAGAGAAATAACGGTGCAACAGTGACAACAGTGACAACAGTGACAACGGTGACCACAGTCACATTAGTGACAACAATGACAACACTGACAACGGTGGAACAGTGACAATAGTAAGAACAGTGACAATGGTGACAACACCGTCAACACTGAAAATGGTAACAACGGTGCCAATGGTGACAACAGTGACAACAGTGACAACAGTGACAAGAGTGACAACGGTGACAACAGTGACAATGGTGACAACGGTGACAATGGTGACAATGGTGACAACAGTGGCAATGGTGACATGGGTGACTACAGTGACAACGTTGACAACAGTGACAACAGTGACAGCAGTTACAACAGTGAGAACGGTGATAACAGTGACAACAGTGACATCAGTGACAACGGTGACAATGGTGACTACAGTGACAACAGTGACAACAGTGACAATGGTGACAAGAGTGAAAACAGTAACAAGAGAAATAACGGTGCAACAGTGACAACAGTGACAACGGTGACAACAGTGGCAAAAGTGACATCAGTGACAACAGTGACAACAGTGACAACATTGACAACAGTGACAACAGTGTCAACAGTGACATTAGTGACAACGGTGACTACAGTGAGAACAGTGACAACGGTGACAACAGTGACAATGGTGAGAACAGTGACAACAGTGACAACAGTGACAACAGTGACAACGGTGACAATGGTGAGAAAGGTGACAACAGTGACAAGAGTGACAACATTGACAACGGTGACAACGGTGTAACTGTGACAACAGTGACAACAATGTCAACAGTGACAACAGTGACCACGGTGACAAAGGTGACAACGGTGAAAAGAGTGACAACAGCGACAATGGTGACAACGGTGGAACTGTGACAACAGTGACAACAGTGACAACGGTGACAAGGGTGACAAGGGTGACAATAGTGACAACAGTGACAACAGTGACAAGGGTGACAACAGTGACAACAGTGACAACGGTGACAACGGTGACAACAGTGACAACAGTGACAACGGTGACAACAGTGACAACAGTGACAACGGTGACAACAGTGACAACGGTGACAACAGTGACAACAGTGACAATGGTGACAACAGTGACAAGAGTGATATCTGTGACAAGAGTGACAACGGTGCAACAGTGAGAACAGTGACAACAGTGACAACGGTGACAATGGTGACAACAGTGACAACGGTGACCACAGTGACAACAGTGACAACGGTGACAACAGTGACAACGGTGACAACAGTGATAACGCTGACACTAGTGACAACAGTGACAATGTGACAATGGTGAGAAAGGTGACAACGGTGACAAGAGTGACAACGGTGCAACTGTGACAACAGTGACAACAGTGTGAACGGTGACAACAGTGACAACGGTGACAAAGGTGATAACGGTGACAAGAGTGACAACAGCGACAACGGTGCAACTGTGACAAGAGTGACAACAGTGACAACGGTGACAACAGTGACAAGAGTGACAACGGTGACAACGGTGACAACAGTGACAACGGTGACAACGGTGACAACAGTGACAATGGCAACAACGGTGACAACAGTGACAACAACGACAACAGTGACAACAGCAACATCAGTGACCACTGTGACAATGTTGACAACGGTGCAACAGTGACAACAGTGACAACAGTGAGAACAATGACATCAGTGAAAACAACGAAAACAGTGACAACATTGACAACAGTGACAACAGTGGCCACAGTGACAACAGTTACAACGGCAAAAACGGTGACCACAGTGACATCAATGACAACAATGACCACAGTGACAACGGTGCAACAGTGACAAAAGTGACAGCAGTGACAACGGTGACAACAGTGACAACGGTTACAACAGTGACAACCGTGACAATGGTGACAACCGTGACAACAGTGACAACTGTGACAACGGTGACAACGGTGACAACGATGACAACAGTGACAACAGTGACAACGGTGACAACGGCGACAACGGTGACAACGGTGACAACGGTGACAAAAGTGACAATGGTGACAACAGTGACAACAGTGACAACGGTGACAACGGTGACAACAGTGGCAATAGTGACATGGGTGACAACAGTGACAATGGTGACATTGCTGAAAACAGTGACAACAGTGACAACAGTGACAACGGTGACAACAGTGACAAGAGTGAGAACGGTGACAACGGTGACAACAGTGACAACGGTGACAACAGTGACAATGGCAACAACGGTGACAACGGTGACAATAGTGACAACAGCGACAACAGTGACAACAGCAACAACAGTGACAACAGCGACAACAGTGACAATGGTGACAACGGTGACAATGGTGAGAATGGACACAAAAAACATACTTACATACTTTTGCAAAAAAATCGAAGTCCAAGAAAACTCAAATTTTTGACCGAAACGATGGATTAACCCCTTTGCAAAAATTTTAATTTTGCGTTTTTAATAAACAGATATTCTTGTAGTCTTTCAAGCCTTCTTTTTTATGTAGAACGCCAGCAAACACTTTTTCGCGATGTTTTTTTGATAAACACAAAAGATGAAAGAACTTCAACTGTTGGAACAAAATCATGGACTATCCCCTTTGGAACAATCCCAGTTTTGCGTTCTTTTTAAATCCATGTTTGTATTGTCTAGAAAGGCTTGCTTTGTAACGAGAACGTCAGCAAATACTTTTTCTCGGTCTATTTTGCATAAAACGAAACGTTAACAAAATGGACTAACCCCTTTGGAAAAATGCCAATTTTGTGGGTTATTGAAAGCGATGTTTTTAGTATCTAGAAAAGCTTCTTTGCGATATAAAACGTCGAAAATCCTTTTTTCACGACTTATTTTCACAATCTATTACATGGGAATACAGGGGTTACAAGGGGTTACAAGGCGTGACAGGGAGTTATAAAGGATTTCAGAAACTTTTTTCTAACTAGAACGTTCCCAGATACTTTTTCTTGGTCTATTTTGCGTAAAAATCAAAGTTGAAGAAATCTCCAATTTTTTACCAAAACAATGGACTAACCCCTTTTCAAAAATTCTAATTTTGAGTTTTTAATAAACAGATATTCTTTTAGTCTTTGAAGGCTACTTTATTATCTAGAACGGCAGGAAACACGTTTTCTCGATCTATTTTTGATAAACACAAAAGATGAAAAAAAATTCAACTTTTTAATGTAATAGATCGTGAAAATAAATCGTGAAAAAACGATTTTCGACGTTTTATATAGCAAACAAGCCTTTTGGTGACATTGTAAAGCATTTATGAAGGGGAGGGGAGAGGCATACATATACAATGCTTGATGGTAAAATTTAATCCTCAAAGACAAGGGGCAGGATTTATAGGGGGAGGAGAGACCGAGGCATACTCTGAATGGCGTAATTTAAACCTCAAACTGGACAAAATTTTTATATTGTATGTTCATAACTCGCCTTGTTTCCCCAGCAAAAGTTTGCATAATATTTTGCATAGGCATTTTTAACCCTTTAAGCCCTAAGAGTGATCAGCGTCAAATTTCACCTTGTAATATCACTGCTTTATAAAACAGAATGGTCATGAGAATTAAAGACATGATCACACAAGATCGATCTTATTGATACTTCAACAAATTCTCACCACTACTTTTATTGAAAACGTATAGGGATAACAAATGAAAATTTGAATTTTGATCTTAGGGTTTAAAAGGTTAATACCCAAAGGAGAAGGTCCATATTAGTGTTCTTCAATGCCCTCATTTACGCCCCAAATTCTCGCTGAATCCCGTAATGCCGATGGTTAGTTTGGGCATCCCGCATTACCTGCATACTTTAATCCCGAATCTCGTCCTAATTTTGTTTGAAAATCCCGAATCCCGGCCTTGAACTAAGGCGAATCCCGCATCCCGAGCTCCAAATAAGGAAAATCCCGCATTCCGCACCCGGAAAAACCATTTGGGGTCCCCCAGGAGAAACAGGAAGCGATGGGTGTTGTGGGTAATGTGAAACTGGGTGTATATATACTCTACAGGCATACTAGCTAAAGGCAGTAATGAACAGACATGAAGCCGAAGAGCCCTGGACAAAGATAGGGACTTTAAGCAAAGACTACGGAAGGTTCTAGTACGGTGACCGGAAGTGATTTTTTTTCGCCACCCGTCGACGCCTCAAGTCAGCGACGGCTATAGCGGTGAAAACGTCGCTGAAAGGTGTATTCCTGTTCTTTTATTCTTTATCGCGATTATTCCAACTCGCTTACTCTGTCAAATGTTGGCGAACCCTTCATGAGGGTAAAGCCGTGCAGTGACCCCCACGGAAAGGAAATGTAAAAAAAAAAACATTTGTAAAAAAGGGCGATTCATGGGCAAATTCAGGGCTTGCTTCTGTTTTATCAGTCTTATTGACACCACTTGGTGAGATGATATCCATTATGAAATCCTCTTTCTCGTCAACTGTATTTTGCGTATTTGGCTGTATTTTCACTTGGGTGTCATGCCTGACACCGAAATTTGAGGCCCATGATCGAAAAATGAACCTTTGATTCAGAAAATTCCAAGGATCAGGGGCACCCAACGGCAATTTTCGGGAAAATATCTGTTCGGAAGACGATTTGAGAACTAGAATTTTCGGAACATTTGTTGTAAAATTTCTTGCTTGCCTGCCTCTCCTAGGATTTTCGAACATTTACAAAATGGTATAATTACCCATTTTAAACGGATATTTACCCTAAAAAAGGCCACCTAGAATTTTCGGAAGCCTTTTCCTGGCTGAAATTTTCGAAAAGGTAAGTTTTGATCCCTATAATTTTCGGATCACTAGACTTTCAGCTAGGAAATCCGAACAGATGAAAAGTTTTTAGGGGATAAAAATATGCCTATATCTACCGTTTAAAAACTAAAATACGTTCAACAATGCTATGTTAAGTGGTTTTGAACTATATCCTCGTTGGGTGCCCCTGAGGGATGACTAAAAAAGGATAAAATGCGTATATCTGCGATTCTGTTTCAAATATACACTGGCGTTCTAAGCACGTAAAATGCAACTGCGTACTAGACAGTACGGCCCGCCATGATCTTCTACATGTACGTATTCGGGAAGCGCAGTACGGTCAGTAAGTTTTTAAATTAGCAAATCAACAATTTTGCGCGTTCTCCTATTGTGTTAGTCAACATTTCTTTGTGACCATTGCACGGCCACGACGTGAAAATGCCTAACTTCACGTTTTATTGATGCCTGAAGTAAACAAACGAAGACGAACTTTTTTCCTCTATGAGTTTGCCTACATTTGACAAAATAACCGACTAGTAATAATCGCGAAAAAGAATGAAAAAATGGGAATTAACGTTTTGACCGCTATTTGAAGTTGAGGCCTTGACGCGTGGCGGGAAAAAATACTTCCGGTCACTGTACTAGAACCTTCCGTATGATCCCGTAGTTGTCGCCTTAAGTCCCTATTTAGAGGATAAAGACCTTGAAAACTGATTAACAGATTAACACTCACCCTGTATAAAGACATGGATTATGCTGATCAATATCAAAGTTCCTTTCGTGTTCATTTTTCTTGCAGTTGATCAACTGCAAAGTGAAGAAGAAACGCGCCTGTTATACAGATACAAGCCAGATACAAATAACTCCAAAATATTTTAGTTTTAGTTTCCTTGTCACCTCTTTAGCTCGGCATATTTTTCAGTCGAATATGGGGCCACAAGTTCTTCTATCTATCTAGTTTCGTTATAGCTTGATTACTGTTATCAAATTGCGTGTCGAAAGGCGTTTCCACAAACATTCTCTACATGCTCGATTACCAACAGAAACTCAACATTAATTCTAAAAGGATTTTCTAATTCAAAAAGTCCCTCGTGAAAGGGGATCATCGATTACAAAAAACTCACTTCCGATATTTATCGATCGATAGTGGTCAAATGTTTCTGTGTGTGATTTTTAAAATTTTTACTTGAATTAAACTAGTTTTTTTGTGTGTGCGCATGGTTTTTAGCTGCACATGTGGCTCGACGTTTTCATCGAGGATGAAAATTATGGATTGGCCCGGTTCAATTCAGTGTCAGTCGGATGCCATTTTAAAATCAAACAGGGTTCAGCTAATGCTAAGAGATTCTAGGATCAGTCCTTTGAATCGGCAGAAACTTAACCCCGAGAGCGACAATGGAGTCATTCAGGGAGTTCTAACTTTTGAGTCAGCGGATAAATTTAAGATTATTACCGGTCAAACGAAACCTCTAAAACCGTATTTCACAAAGTATCATTTATTTTTCAAGTTTCACAGATGGATTAACTACTTTCATAGCTGCTTTATCAATCAATTTATCACGGAAAGATAAAACAAACTAAAAATGGCTAAGAATGATCGGAACGTCAAAGCAAATTGATTGCAGTATCCATGTCCGGTCCGGATGACCTTTCCTTTCAAATGACAAATTCATCTTACAAGTTCTATCATGTGCTTTGAGTTTGAAGTTTGAAAAATGTTAGTGGATGCAACATGTGAGTAAATATGCCCGTGCTAATGAAAACCACATATATAAACACGCTTCATGTTGAAAAATACTTTAAAAAAAAAACAAACTAGGCAAGCCTCGACAATAGAAGATTAAATTATCAACTCATTCAAATAAGAGATGTCACTGGAGAAAAATTCGACAAAAAGTGACAGAAAGTCGTAAATTGGGTGCCAAACGCAAAAGTTCCACGGGAAAATCCTTCTCTTTTACATAGCGTATAGTTTTGTAATTTAGAGCCATCTCAACTTGCATGTATAACATACTAAGCAGTTCCACGGGAAAGCACTACTCAGTGGCTTTTATTTAAGTGGTCACACTTTAGGATTTCATCCACAAACTCAAAAGTTAGAACCACCTTGTACAGCATAATAAACAGCACCACGGGAAAGTATTGCACGGTAGCTTTCATTTGAATGGTCACACTTTAAATTTCACAAACACAAATTAAAAGCTACATTAATCCACCGTAGTTTTCTTTTGGGGGGTTAAAAGCTACGTTTATTTACATTGCCAAAGACTTGCATTTCTTGTTACGTGAAATCTGTTAGCAAATTGACAATAAAAATGTGTTTTAAACACATCCGGCAAGGAGATATGGTAGATATTTGTACTGTTATGTTTTTCTTAATTGATTAAAGCAAGGTGTAAATCGATTCCCCTCAAACTAACAACTTCTTATATAGAGTTCGGGCCGCTTTTCATATCAGTTGCTGAAAGATCGTATCTTTATTATCAAATTTCTCCGAGTGCTTTTTGCCTAAAGCAAAGAGCGAACCAGTAAAGGGTTGTTTATATTGGTTTCATGTGTTTTCTATGCACGTTGATCAAACTGAACATGACCAGAAGGCGGATGAAGAAACTTATGAAAAGAGTCTGCGTGATTGTAAGTGTGGGAATCGTCTTTGCACAAGCAGTTTTTGTATTTTTCAACCTACGGGCGAATTCACGACACATTTCACAACATTTCGCCGCTTTAAACACGAAAGAGGAAGTCTCTCGCGTAATCATGACAACAGAGCAAGGTCTTAGACAAGCAAAACACTTTCCCAGTTCACACCAGGAAAAAATTGCCACCGAAGTTTTAGAGCCAGTGGCGATGGAGGAGAATTTATTCCCAGTACAAAAAACAACTTACGAAGAATGTTTGCTGAAGGCTGACGACGAGAAGTTACAATTTCACGAGCTCGTAACAGGAAGCGTGATTTATTCAGCATTTCTGGACTTCAGGTTCAAGCAACAAGCTTTCGTTCGTCTGATTTCATTTTTGCCAGCTTATGGTGAGATTCCAGAAATGTACTGCCATTTCATGGACTTAAACATGTACGAGTTCTTTAGCAGTGTCGTAGAAGTTGAAGAATTCGAAAATAACCATGGCGAATACTTCTATCACGGATTTATATCATCGTGCGAGCTCCCAGAGGAAATCGACAGTTATACACTGTGTTCGGTTAACATTTCCCTTGATCCCGAATCACACAGGCAAACGTCTGAAAACACCAAACAGATTCCGTTACATCTAGTCGACCGCAGGCTAAAAATCGAACCTTACAGCCTTTGCGTTCCGCCAATAGGTGGTGATATTCCCGCGGTAAGGCTCGTGGAGTTCATAGAACTGTCCCAGATTTTGGGCGTGTCCCATATCACGTTTTATAACTCAAAAGTTGAAGAAAAGACTCTTAAAATTCTGCGATATTACAAACAGAAAGGATTAGTAACTATCTTGCCATGGAAAATACAAGAGTACATATCTTTAAACACTGAAGATAACGGGAAAACCCTGGCGCTTAACGACTGCATGTATAGAAACTTGGAGCGGTTTGATTATGTAGGTTTTAACAACCTTGACGAATTCATTGTTCCTTTTAAATACCGGAAAACTCCCGAAATGTTTCAAAATTTAGGTGACGAGGACACGGCAGGCTACTGTTTTCAAATCTTTACTTTTGACACAAGTAAATCTGCAACTAACAATTCAAAACTTCAGCTGAAACTTCAACTTCTTACGCAAACATTCAATTTCAAGGCTTCTTCTCGTACATTTGGACAATCTAGATGTGTTGTTTCGCCCACGAAAGCTTTTTATATAGACTTAAATGCTATCATAAATCCATCAGAAACGTACTACACAACATTTCATGTTGAACCAAACATCGGTTCTGTGCTTCGTTACGGTGAATGCATCGGCGGGGATGCAAGCTGCGAGAGCTCGCACCAGGATCTTACCATGGTCAAATATCGGGATGAGTTGAAAACGAGATTTAATTTGACTATGGGTGATTTGAAACGTCATGGTTTACTATGAGGTGACATCTTAACAAGAGTTGAGATGAAATATAACCAGAGAAACTTCAATTTATTGTCCTCAGCCTTATTGATCAGTAGGTAACTGTGATGGAGTGCGGTCGTTTCACGAGCTAAACGCGAGCCACCCTCTAGTCGAGCCTAAATCCCGGTAGAGAGGGGATACTTCCTATTCTGCATCAGTCAATTCCAGCTGCGCCCACCCCCCCCCCCCCCCCC